AATAAGTTGTCACTTTACGAAATTACGTGTTTAGTGTCAAGGATCATCAACGTCTCCAGCTAGAAACCTGGGTATGAAAGATGCAGGAATACCACTATGGATAACCATGGAGATCAGGAAACTTCATAGACTCTGGAAAAAGCATTAAAATATGTTTATCTCTACAAGTCCTTAACAATAAAGATACACTTATTGTAAGGCTGGGGATGTATTCAGAGCACTGATCAGTAAAGCTAGGCAGTAGTTTAAGGTTGTGAAAGCAGTCCAAAAACGTTCTTGTATATAAAGCGGCGAAATAATTTTTGGTACAAGGAAGTCCGTTGATATTGGCAAGAACTAATTTCGCAAAAGCTTTAGCTTTATTGGGATATTTCAGTGACCTTGGTATAAAACCAACAATAAATTATAGTATCCACTTGTCGATGGATTCTCTAATTATTAAGAAAGGAGCTAATTTACGGTTACTTCAACACTTCAATCTAGATAAAAGCAGTGATCATAATGATTTTCATCCAAAGATCATGAAATCCCAGGTGGATAAAATTGTTGGACCTCTGTGAATATTAGTTGAGTTGTCTTTTAACGAGTCTAAACTGCCGAGAGACGGAAAATACTCAACTATCAGTCCCGTTTACGAACCAAAGGGTTAAGACTTAGTTTGTGACTGTCGACTCGTTAGTCTAATGCCACAGTCATTAAAATAATGAAAAAGATTCATATGGATATTCTTAACTATGTGGAGGTGAATAATCTGCCGGAACAGTGAAATGTCACTGGGTCCTAATCAAATCATGCAGCAGTCGAATAGCTGAATATCGAACAGTTCACCTGACTTCGCCGAAGTCAAAGATAAAGGATGTATTCAAATTAATTGCACTCCATGGACGAGCACATGCATCAGTGATCCCATTCTGTTCCTCGTACCTAATCTCACTAACACATTTCTGTAATGTCATTTTGTCGTACGGTCATCAATGTAGCAAAGGGAACTAGGGACAATGAGACGGTAATCCACGTAAGGTAATGACCGCGAGGTGTGACTTAGACGTTAACTGGTTGGCCACTTGATTCCTGTCTAACTTGAATAGGTTCATAATCATTCGAAATATCATCTACGCTGGTGATCTAAAATGTTTTAGTCAGGAAGTAACACGGTTTTTTAAAAAGGCCTGCTTAATGCAAGAGAAGATTGAGCCCCAACGAAAGATGGTAATACTTCGGTAGATGAGAGTTCTATAGATCTAGGCAAAACATCTGACAAGGTCCATCACCTATATTTTAAAACGGGAAAATTTTGTGATTCATTATGAAACCATAAACTCGTTAAATGACTTCCTTAGCGATACGAGACAACAGCTACGTATAAATAGGGTTTTATCAAGACGAGGACCTGCAAAAAGTTATGTTCTCCTTGAAAATATCCTTAGTCGTTTTCCTTTTTGCTTTGTAGAAATGATTTACCAGTTTTCGAAAAGTCGACTGTTTTACTTTTGGCAATATGGCATCAATATTTGAAGACGTATAAATAATATACCAGAAAGGATAATATTACAAGATGACCTAAATTCGCTGTTTGAATGGATGGGCAAAGGATCAGTAGAAGCCGGTTCTGCAAGTGTAGTGATGCGAATAAATAACTGGAACGATTCATATTGTAGTGTAAAAGAATAAAGGGGTGGCCAACAGAATGTATTTGAACACAAAATTACAGAAAATTTTGCAAAATATCAAACAATTGTCTCAAACTTTACTGTTCCTTTTGCAAATATCAGTCCATCGTCTCAAATTTCGTTGTTCTTGCATTTTCTTACCAATGTCCCCGTTCCCTTTCTTTCATTCTCCATCTCCTACTGAAATACTTTATATTCCTAACTGTCGTTATATGGATATAAGTGTCTCACACCACACTCGTCCCCAATTTAAAGCAGTCGCTCTTGCGATGGTTCTGCTCGCCGTTCCACTTTCCTCTTTTCTTAAATCTGTACCACGCTCTCCGTCAAAATGTCGAGTTTTTGGCGCACTGACCTCGATAGCTCCGTCGACCTGTCAGGAAATCGACATCTGACACCCAGCCGGCAACTGGAACACTCAACGCCTGTGCCTGTTGAGCCATCTACATCTGATGTCTGTCCAGCAGCCGTACGTCCCATCGTTCTTCGTCGACAGTATCCGCTACAGCTAATACCGTCCCTCCAGAACACTTCACTTGACGTCACCTCTCCGCAATATAACTGCATAACGAGTGAAATTGTGCCATCTGTAGTAGTGGACTAAAATGACGTAGAAGTCATAGTAAGCAACGGCCTTAGAACCACGAATTAATTTTCAGGTTGCAGCTGCAAAAGATTTCAGGTTCTTATGGGCTATTCGTGTCATTTCACCTCTTAGACAGAGAAATGTTTAGGTTATTTTACTTGATTTTTGTGAGGTTGCTTTGTAATACGTGATCCAAGCAGCTACCCTTTGTGTCTTGTATGAGGCGGGTATGTTGGTATGAGTTTAATGGCTAGAGTCCAAAATGGTAAGTGGCCTCTGTGATGTGTCCTACAAAGATGGAATGAGACTCTCCAACTTATTTTCGATATCTAAACGCAAGGTTTAGGTTGAGGTCAGAGTTAGGGTTAAATGGAATTTTGTTCCCATTTTAATATAGGTATTAATGCCAGAGCTGGACTTGATAGTTTCAAGTATATAATACATTGTGTCACGAGACATTAGAATTGTAATTTTTTACCCATTAAGATGTAGCAAAAAACTTTTTTTTTGAGCTTTTAGTCTGTTCATTACATGCGCAACCTTCAATGGCGGAAAACGGTTGATGAGACTTTATGGAATAATACTCATAGTACATTTCTTTTTGTACAGGATAAAAGTATCGTTTATGTGCCATTTTATAATAGTGCGAATAGTCTAAGGTCGTTATCCATTTGAGTCTCTTTGTATGTTTGTACGTGAATGTGTGTAAAAATTCGCCATGCATACACATTTCGTTGGTAGTAATTCTTTGTTTCTCTCTGTACATAACGCTTCTCCACTTCCACTCTTTACTCATATTACGTTCACTTTTCATATCGAATTACATTGCCTAGATAATTTACGACCGCCTAACACCTTGACATAACTGAGTTTTCAATAACCATTTCCGTTGCTTTACTCAGCACTGACTTTTCGGAGGCTACCATGTTGAATTATTCTTTTATAGCCTCTGTGTATGTTGACAAACTCTGCCTGGAGATCTTCTAGAGCTACTACCACTCCCACGCTTGGGTAAAGGAGGGTTGGAGGTGGGGTTAGCGACCCACTCACTAAAAATACGCTAGCCAGAAAGGAAATGTATATTGACTGGTTATGTCGTTTCAGTGGATGTGAAACACTTTCCTCATTTGTCTTGAACATTTATCAGTAATAACTAGTACTTATCTGCGTGATTCTGTCATTTCTGGCGCAAAGCTTATTCTGTGGGTGACCGATCACTATTAAGGCGAACTGAATTAGCCTATCTCTTTTCCTATGACTGGAATATTATTCCTTGGTCGATAAGAGCTCTTTCAGTAATATGTTCGTAGTTTAGATGGATTTAGGAACTTGATGTTTTAAAGTCGAGTTTTACGCATTGATTTTACCTTTTTCATATCTCTTGCTACGTTATTGTTGGGCAATTATTTCCGTTATTGTATTTTGATTTGCTTTAGCTAGGCCAGGAGTCACTGAGTAAACCAATGGAATGGATATGCTGGAATTCGTAGAATACTACACCTTACATTCTGACTTTTGTAAGGTCAGCATAGAATGGTCTAATGTTAATGAACCAAGAGCGGATCTCAAGACCATATCATTCATTTTTCTGTAAGTTATGTGGTTCAATTTCAGCTGTGGATTAAATATATCTTCCAATGGGACATAGGTCTTTCAGCATTTCGGGTCTTACCATCTACGTACTAACAGAAAACCCGAATGGTCGTTGTTAGTGAAACTTTAGAGAACTGAAGACTCAATTTGAAACTAATTGAACTGTTTATCGTTCTCCTTATCTTGTGGAAAATTAGTCTGGTACTGAAATATTACTTTTGAAATCAGGAATGTGTTTCACGAAATGATGCACAGAGCAGAAGAAGTATGCAAACTCCATTTGGTCAAGCGTGACTCGATGTTTTTTGTCATACGATGAATATGGTGAGTAATTAATACAGATACACTCAAATAAAAACAATCAGGGTTACTAAACGAATAACTGATGAGGTGAAAATGATTCTTGAGAAGAATGAGTGGATTGAATTGTCCAGAGGTCAGAATAACCCATTTAGGTTTGACATAGTCCTAGCCCCTACAAAACGCTCCTTTACAAAATAGCACGTTAATTTTAAAAGATGTCTGTTTTCTAAAATGACACTGAAGAGTTATGTGGTTATTTCTGACAACAAGTAGTAAGAAAGTTTGTACCAGATCTGACAAAGTATAGTGTCAAGTGGGGAGTGAGTATATAATATGAAAGTGTCATACTTATGTAAAATATACATGAATATCATGAGGGCACGGACAAAAAATGTCAACATTAGATTATGAGCAAATTAATAGGCGTGAAGATAAAGTGGATTTATTTCGTGACTATATGGATAATAAAATAATACTTTTATATGAGTGGTTCAAAAGATCGTGAAAACAAAGTAATGAATCGTTTATAGGTATGACAGTGGAAAAAATCGTAGAGTAGAATATGACAGAAATTGATTTGTGGTGCCGACAGGATGTAACGATAAAGAATAGTTACTAGACCGCCAGTTTACCCATCAAGTCGCAGGTTGTTCGGTGTACGATTAGCTAGTAAAGACGTCGGAAATATATGTCATGATATAGCACCAGCCATTATAATACAACAATAACATAGGAGGTTCATAATATGGGTTTATTACTTTTATTAGACTTATTTACAAACATTTTTCTTTTAATTCCTTGAAGTACTAGTATAAAGACAACATTCTTTCATATCCAGTGAATAACGTCTCATTAAGTACTGATATTAAATTTTCGTCAGTAGGCGTAACGTTTGCAGGCGCGTTTTTTGAAGTGTTTCACGTTATGGATCGTAAAACAGTCATCAAAAGCAAACTACAAGGAATAGAGAGGTATTAATCTGTATGTATTTTGAAAAGAATTAGCTATAACCCTGAACACATAACAGCACTCGAAGAACATCTTTCATGGCAGATCATAAATAATGATTATGATTTCGAAGCTAATTTAGCTCTGCTTAGATTGTATTTAACGAGATTTTATGATTAGCCCTTCTTACATAGATATCAGTTCTATCCGGAACGCTTCAATGCTGAGTGTGCGAGGTTAGTGCTGCTGAAGGCAATAATAAGTATGAGTCACTCAGATTTTACATTGTGCAAGTACTTGATTCACTTAGAACATGTAAGTAGTTTGTGTACATTATTAAAGTTAGCTCAGTGAAGAGCCACTTTCACAGGTCGTAGAACTTGGGTTTTTCCTGGAAACCTGTCGGTTTTCTGAGTTTTGGGTTTGTTCAATTTCATTGTTTTACTCAGTCTTTAGACGAAAGTAAAAGAAAACCCCAAAGTATTTTCTGCTATCCCTGGATTCCGAGAATCTGTATGTAGATGTAAGTACTGCTTTCTTCAGAATTCTATATACTTAACTCTTTGTATGTGACCTAGTTTTCATAGAAACAGTTTCGTGCATTTGAATCCATTCATTGTTTAAGTATGGATTTTTTAACCAGGTTCGTTTTGTGACCATAAGTAATAGTGGTTTACCGTCATTTTCCGAAATATATTACTATGGTCTGAAGTAAACTACAGTGATCTACTCAATAATTACAACTTGTAGACATCTGTTCTAATCTTAACTGAAACCTAAGATCAGGCACATATATGCACCGGTCCAAGTTGCCACACTTCATTAGCACAATAAAATTATCACTAAATTCATAGAAGTAGTTGCTTCAATAGTAGTACTATGTAAATGGAAGATTTCATATAAGAATATAATAGAGAAAAAGAATTCGTTGGTGGAAAGAAAGGTATAATGTGGTTTTAATCTCACCTATTAACGGAAGATAAACAGTCTATACACCTGCGCGATTGTGATCGATTCTCAGCCATATCTCCAAGAGTCTCCAGTCATGTGAACCCCAAAGGCCATGGTACGACCGAGAGTGGGGAGAATCTGCTATCCCTCTCGAAATGCTCCCACATGGCCACGCGTATATAGCCTCTACCAGAGAAGTCCTGCTCACTGCCTTCTCACATCAGGGGTGTTGTTTACGAAAATGAGAGGACGAAAAGCGAATGTCCTGCTCTTTAACCGGATCCCAAACCAATGGTGCACATGGACTATCTTCAGTATCCTGGGGTAACAAATGGCGTATGAACCAATCGTTGGTAACCGGCTACCATGAGACTGCATCTTCTCACGATCCTCCACTGCCTTGTGGGTCGGATCAGACCTTTGGGTCGAAGGCTCGGGGTGTGGCCCCTAAGAAAACCAACTTCTTCGGTTTGGACACCCGGGCAGTATCACAACCCTCACACAAATTAATTGAGATTCGTGAGGCGCATATGTATTTGATGCCTCCTTGTACCAATACTTATGTGTCAAAATAAATAAATAAATAATGTCTGCATCTACTAACATGGCTTAGACTGAAGGTTAGTGACTTCAAGGACTGATGTCTTGTTTTGGTTTGGTCGCCCCTAACTTTTTCCTAACCATTCTCAACAGTAGTTAGCATTGTGCGTCGTAGTAAACAGTGTTCAGGCATACGCAACACGTGGCTCAACCATCTCAATCAATGAAGATTCACAACCTCATCAACTGATTTACCATCATTCCCTAATACATTGCGTCTAACCTCACTATTAATTACACGGTGATCCCAGCAGATGCTGGGAATATTTCTAAGACATCTGTGGTCAAATACCTCTACCCTTAATGGTCACGTTTCGCAGCTGCAATGTAGAACAGAACGAACTGCCGCGCAGTGTACTCGTCCCTTAATCGATGGACGTTTATCTCACCCTTGCTATATTTGAGGCAAAAGCCAAACGGACTTTTCGAATCCGTGCATAGATTTCGTCAGACACCAACCCATTAGGGCTGATCAGATTTCCAAGATGTGTTGTCGACTACTTCACTCCCTATCTTTAGTTCAGGTGTTGGCGCAGGCCCGTCTTGAAGCAATGCTGATTGAGCATTTCAGTTATTCTATAACAAATAATTTGTTCATCAAATTGATATTATGCTGTGTGCTTGTTTAGTTAATCACAATTCGCTCATCAACTGTAGAAGAGTAGTAAGCTAGTGGTGTAAATACTTATGTTCCGACTAATATTGGCAACCGTAGCTGCTACTTTGCTGTAGTTTTCTTTTGATTGCCTTTGTGAGTATTGGCTGGAACACGTGTCTTTAGGTTCTTTTATGCCCATCTTAAACAGTATATTTCTTCGACGATTATTAGAAAGATGATCTACCAGATACATAATCAAGTGCTGTATAAACAGGTTAGTCAAAATCGTCATGTGAAAGGGGCGAGATTTTACTGTGACTACAATAAAAGCTGTTTTAAGTTGGCTTGTTGGTCAGAAAAAATTACTCACTTACTATAGAATAGGAACTCATTAGTGCGCTTTTGAGATTCTTTTTCACAATTCATTCTTAATTTGAAGCCTGTCTTCCGATCTGATTTAAACTTCAAACCTTAAGAGGTCCATCATGTAGTTTTGGAAGACCAAAAATGACATCCTGAAGTTCAATCGTCAGCCTTAATTGGGCATGGTGATAAAGCCATATAGGGGTTGATAATAATAAGGAAGAGATATTAGGAACTGGAGGTGCTTGAGATGTGTGGATGGTTGTCACTTCTCGGTCGACTGCATTGTGGAGGTATACTTCATGGGAAGGGAACTGGCTTATTAGTGATTTTGTTGACCTAAGAGCGCGAATGCGCAGCCCCCGGGAAACCTGTTTGAAGTTGTTTACCCACGGTCTTTTTGCGAGTAGTTTTTAATATGTTTTATGTTGTAGGAGTTTTATGGTGTAGGAGTAGGTTGGAAGAAAGGTAGGGGAAGCCAGATCAAAACATGGCACAAATCCATGAAGTCACTCACAAGTGGACTGAGTCATGTTGGTAGGTGTAGACTACCTGGTTGGGGACCGCGAGATGATAGCAACCGATGGTTAGAGACTTTGAATGACATGGCTCAAAATCGTTTGCAATGGTGTGCGCAGGTGCATCCACTCTTTGTGTTCTCTCAAACTCTAATCTTTTGTATTCTTCATGTCCTTTATTTTCTTTCCAAATCTATTCCACTGGACTATACTCCTTAAATAACATCATCAAACCCTAATGTTCCCTATTACTACCTATACTTTCACTACCTCTACCACTATGGGATTTTAATCGATGACTGAATCTCTGTGCTAATGTGGTAGGTACGGCAACTCGAACTGATGTACGTACGTACGATGTTCCACGTTGTTACTGACTGACTTTTAATATGTTACCTCTATGCTTTGAGGACCTTACCACTGACGACGTAAACTTGTGGGTAATGTAGTGTTATAATACTTTGCAGGGAGACTGCATGACTGTTGAAAGGAAATGCCTCACTGCTTTTCAAGTAATTTATCTAGCATAGTAAAACCCAAAAGAGCAAGTTTTGACGTCATTGTAGTTCAAGTGGGTCATCACGACAGACAGGTCTGACTACCAACATGTAGTAGCAACAGTTAGGAAATAAACAAACTTGAAATGCACAGACTTTCAAAAAAAATTGTTCAGGAAGTGATTGGATATTATCAATTCAAACTCTACTCAAATCGTTCACTTACTCTGTGATGCACTTTCCGGTAAAAATTACAAAATCACTTATCACCAGACATTCAGTGTGGCTATAATAATAATGATAATCTTCATTTAAAACGTAATGTTAGCTACCAAATAACTGATCGTCTATCGATGGGAAACTATCTAAAAATCCGCGAACTGTAGTGCAGTTTTAAAACTCATTTGGGTTTGAAAGAACCGGTGGTTGGATTTGACACATTTTTTTTATTAGAGTAGTGGTTGTATGATTCACAAATGACGTATAGTATTTCAGAGCGCATAACTTTCATCTACTCCTTATCAGTCAAAGTGAGATAAGATCAGTGGCTATCTATTATGAATTTTAAAACCAAAACCCTTCTAATTATTTTTCAATGGATTATTAAGGTTCCAACTGGAACACATACGGCATTTTAAACAAATTCGGTGTTATAATTCACTTGTCAAGTACAGATTCGTATACTCAACCGTAAGCCACATTTTACATTCAAATACTAATGGTTCCATCCAAACCAAAGTGAAACAGAGTTAGACGTGCAACCTAGTCGCATTATTAATTTTTGCAAACCAATTATGGTTGAGGGCCTATTATTACGCAACATGTTCACTAGTCTAGTTCATAATTTCAATAGCCTAGCTTCTTAGTCATTTATTTATTTGAATACATAAATATTGGTACAAATGAGCACCAAATACACATGCAGCACAGAGGTCACTTGATTTGTGTGTGGGCTGCGATACTACCTGGGTGTGCAGATCCAAGCAGGTGATTTCTTTAGGGGTTCACACCCAGAGCCTTCGAACTAAAGGTCTGATCCAATCCACAAGTTAGTGAAGAAACGTTAGGAGATGCATTCCCATAATAGACAGTGACCAACAATACGTCTAAACGCCATTTATTTCTTTAAGATTCCGAAGACCATGTACACCAGTGGTTTGGAATTAAGGTTTTCCAATTTCCCATAGGAGGACTCTCCGTGTCCACCAACCCGGTTAAAGCGCCGGACATTCGCTTTTCGTGAAGGCAGTGGCAACATTTGGACAATAAGAGCTGAGTCTCCCTCATTCTCGTCTGTACCAGGGCTCGTCCGGGATCTAAAAGTTAGTGGAGCCACGTCAGGCGATGCAGTCTCACAGTAACAGATAAATCAGTAGGACCAGGCACATATATGTGCATCGATCCAAGTTGCCATACCGCGTTAGCACAGCAAGATGAACACCTGATTCATAGAAATGGTTAATTCAATGATAGTAATATATAAAAGAGTGCATAAAAGGAGATAGTACAGGAAGAAAGAATTAGTTCGTAGAAAGAAAGATATGAAGCGATTTTAATCTCTTAGTTTAAAGGAAGACAGAGAGTGTATACACCGACGCCATTGTGATCGATTCTAAGCCATATCACCCAGGGTCTTTAACCATTGGTTACGAAGGTCACACGGACCGCAACCAAGTAGTCTGCATCTATCAACATGGCTCAGACTAGAAGTTCGTGACTTCAAGCACTAAAGCCACATTTCGGTTTGGTCGCCTTCTGTACAGTCAGTAATACGACTTTGCCTTCGTAACTTGAGTTTGTTGGTTTTAGTTTTATCACTCTTCAACTGACCTGTCTAACATTGGTAGAACCTTGAGGAAAAGTTGTTTCAACCAATATAGTTCAATTGCTTCATTACGATAGGATAAATCCGATATACTACGTTAAGGTAGCAACAACGGTCATAGTATCGATAACAAGTAACTAACGATTGATTTTTACACTATTCAGTTCATTGGATATTTTCAAGTTGCATTTCTTTTTCTCTTCCCATATATATATGTATATAGTTATTGTTCAAATTATATCACAAACCTATCAACGTATTTCAAAAACATTATTAATGAGCTTTCTAGATATGTCAGAGAATGATTTAAAACAATTTATTACACAATTTGAATGGTTCGAAATCACTGATAATTCTAATTGTAATTCTAATTCTAATTGTAATGATCAACTTATCTTAATTAATAATCATGAAGAGAATATTAAATCAATACAAATACGTGAACGTGTCAATTTCGATTCAATTACATCTATGTCTAATGCATTTCGACCATCTAAAAGTGATTTTTTCATTAAAACAACATACAATCATCATCATCATCATATGAATAAAGAATAAATCAATAAATTTATTTTATAAATGATTGAAATAGAAATTTTTTCTCTTTGTATAATCATCTTTTTTCTTTTTCTTTTGTCCAACAATTGATTTGTGTGTGTGTGTGTGGGTGGGTGGGGGGCAACAAACTAATCATGATATTTGAATAATCAATAAGTCAGTTAGTAACCATGTAAGAACACATTGAACATATATCCTACCTACGTACATGTACAGGGACATTCGGCCCCCCCTCCATATCACATGAGTCAAATAATCTATCATACAAGAGAAAGAGACAGAGAGATTATCAAGTAAAAATTAAATAAACAGAAATGATAACTATTCAATTGTTTAATATAATAAAAATGATTGAGATCTAAATGAGAGGAACTTGATTGATTCATTCTCGTCTAGGGATTAAATGAATCTGTTCCACTATTGATGAAAACAATAATTGAGTTTATTTTGATTGAGAACAAAAAAAATAATCATATTTATACAAACAAAAATTGAAAATGAATGAAGACCGAGAAAACAGACAGACAAACAAACAGAGAGAGAGAGAGAGAGAGAGAGAAAGTTTTTTAAGAAAAAAAACTAAGATCATTCCATTGTGGATCAATTAAGAAATGGTGTTTAAATCATATGCTTAATTACTTGTTATGAGGTAGATGGAAAAATAGTAAGTAATGGAAGAAGCCATTGAAATGATTTATTTAATAAATAATCATTTGATGGAATGGTAGGAGGGGGAGAAGGAGAAATGTTAGTTGTTTCTGTTGTTGTTGTTCTTGTGGTTGTTGTGGTTGTTATGTTGGATGATAAGTCATATTTATTTCGATTTATTTTTGAAATTGTGCCAAATTTCTGTTTTATTACTTGATTAAATCGATGAACCGTTTTAGTAGTCCATGACCAAGAAGGTAGCAACAGATCACGATGTGTAATCTATTATAATAATATGAAAAATAAACAATAAAAAGGATAGAGAAGAGCATTATTATAAATGGATATTATAATATTGTTAATTCTAGTCTGTTCATTCCACTTAGCATGAAAGTTTCTTTTATTTAAAATAAGTGAATGACTATTACATATACATGGAAGAATAAAGGGGTAACAGTGATGATATTCAAATCGTGACCAATGCAGATGAATCCAAACAGAACCTTATATAAGCAAAAATGGATAGTCGGTAACAGTGGAATCCAGGACGCGTGTTTCGCCCTATTTTGGGACTCGTCAGCTGAATGTACCTGCATATCAGAGTTGATGTTCACGCTGGGATTCGAACCTAGTACCGTTATGGTGCAGGTTATTTGTATCCACATAAATAGTATATGACGATAGTCAGGCATAGAATGTATTTCAGTAGAAGGTCGATGAGGAAAGAACGGAAAAGAAACGTAATTGATATGAAAACACATGAACAATGAATTGATGTTTGCAACACGAGCAGTGAAGTTTAATATGATGGATTGGTATTTTGCAAATTAACGATTTACTATATGGTTCTCAGGTTTTATTGAGATGCTCTGTACTTATTTGCTCAAATACATTCCATTGTCCCCATTGGCGTTCTTGTTCACTACACCGTGATTTATTTAAATCTTCCCACTCCATTTTACAAGCAGATGGCTATCAAGACTCAGTAGTTAAGTGAATGACGCGGTTGTGTTTCAAGTGAACGACACTGTGTTCGAGTCCCAAAGTGAACATCAACTCTGAGATGCAGATACATCCAGCTGACGAGTCCTAAATCAGGACGAAACGCGCGTCAAACTAAATTCCAGTACTAGCCACTATCCATCTTTGTATGGAATGCTTGTGAATTAAGGCAATACACACAGGATGCACATATGCCAATAAGAAACTGATCAGTTGCAGTGCTAAACAACAATGGGAAAATTCAAGTATAAAGCAAATTTAGAATCTTATATAGAAATTGAATAGTCATTCTTTATGCAGCATCAGTAGTGCATTTCGCCATAGATATTTCATATGCTATAAAGATCATTTTCATCAGAAACTGTAAGCCAGGAAATAATAAATAACCGTTTCATCTCAGTTTAAGATGGGGATGTTTAAATCTGTTGACAAGCTGAATTGAAATCCTATGGTACATATTTATGACTTCAACTAACTCTTGAAATACTATGGCTATCATTGATAAATAAAACGTATCACCACTACTCATTGGTAGCTTGATAAACACTACACATAACACAGATTTCCGCTAGAACTTAAGAAACTTTCAAACATAGTCAATAACTAGTCAGAATATTTTGGATGCTTATTTGATTTATTTGAACATATACATATTGGTACAAGGAGGCACTAAATACATATGCACCACACAAAACTCATTTGATTTGTGTGAGGACTGTGATACTGCTCGGGTGCCCAAACCGAAGCGGGTGGTTTTCTTAGGGGGCCACACCCGGAGCCTTCGACTCGAAGGTCTGATTCACAAGGCAGTGGAGAATCGTAAGGAGATGCTGTCCCATGGTTGCCGGTGACCAATAATAGGTTCATACGCCATGTGTTCCCTCAGGATACTAGAGTCAATATGCACCATTGGTTCGAAATCGGGGTTTTCCAACTCCTTTAAATAAACTTACCGTGTCCACCAACCCGGTCAAAGCGTCGGACATTCGTTTTTCGTCTTCTCATTTTCGTAAACAAACCCCCACCACGGGAAGGTAGTGAGTAGGACTTCCCTGGCAGAGACTATATACGCCTGGACATGTGAGAGCATTTCGAGAGAGTGAACGGACTCTCCCCACTTTTGACCGTATCAGGGCATTCGGGGGCTTTGATGCATATTCTCAAGTAGATACTTACTTGCTTACGCCTGTTACTCCTAATGGAGCGTAGGCCGCCGACCAGCATTCTTCAACCTACTCTGTCCTGGGCCTTCTTTTCTTGTTCATTTTTTCAAGTAGTTAGTAATTGTAAAAGATTATCTAACTGGTCACATATTGAATTCCGTTGAAATTGATTTGTTGAGTTTGATTACTTTGATAAATAAAAATATGCAACATATTACAATAACTGGACGTTTAAAACATCACTCTAACTTTATATTCAATGTCTAGAAAGTTAATCTTTATAAAACTGTTACAATATTGCCTTAGAGTATTAGGTGAGTAAAATTAATTGTCAGGATGGCTTGGACCGAAGTTTCGGATTATTTGGCACATGTCAGCAATCTTGAGGGGAGTTTATGATTCTTTTAGTGTATAGATCTGCACCATCCAGTGTCTACAATTGGAGACTGCACTACTGAGTTATTTGGGTTTTGACTAGTCTATAGAAATCGATCAGCCCACAGGATGATACTGGTCACTGCTCAATTGAAAATTTCCGTAGTATTCATAGCTAACTAACTACCGTTTACCACGACACACAATATTAGCTTGAGTAGGAATAAGTTTCACGAAAGTCAGGAGTGGTCAAACTAAGACACGGGATCAGTGACTGTTCAACTGAAGTGTTCAGAAATTTCATATCATTAATTACCTTTATAAATTTGAATAAAGCCTGAAAAAGCCTTGATTCAAAATAATATAAGTTCATTATATATCGTGGTTTCTCATCAACTGCTAACAACCATTGATATGTATTCAAAGTTGACATTAAGGTAAGGTATAAAGTGAAGCAATGAACATAGATAAACGAAACGAATTAGAATAACGATAACTGCATATATATATATATATATATATATATATATATATATATATATATATATATATATATGGTTGAATGCATCTGATGAGAAACCACGACATATAATGAGCTCATATTATTCTGCATCAATGTTTGTTCTGGCTTCATTCGAATTAAACTGTGTTGGTAGATGCAAACTGTTAGGTTAAGAGCCGCGTGATCAGTGGTTAGGAACACTAGGTGACATAACTTAGTAACAGATACACTCTTGATTTCCAGTACTTCTTCATGGATTACCTGCTTATTTACGCCTGTTACTCCGCGTGAAGGAGCGTATGCTGCTTACCAGCATTCTCTATCCAACCCTGTCTTGGGCAATTCTTTCTAGCTCTTTCCAGTTGTTATTCATCCTTTTCATATCTGCTTCTATTTCCCGAAGTAATGTGTTCTTTGGCCTTCCTCTTTTACTCTTTCCTTCAGGATTCCAAATTAGCGCTTGCCTCGTAATGCAGTTTGATGATTTTCGTAATGTATGTCCTACCCATTCCCATCGTTTTTCCCTATTTTCCTCTTCAGCTTGAAGCTGGTTTGTTCTCTCCCACAAAAGGCTGTTGCTGATGGTATCCGGCCAATGGATGTTGAGTATGTTGCGTAGACAGCTATTGATAAATACTTGTACCTTCTTGATGATGGTTGTAGTAGTTCTCTAAGTTTCAGCTCCATACAGTAGAACTGACTGTCTTGACGTTTGTATTGAAGATTCTGACTTTGATGTTGGTTGAAAGTTGTTTTGAGTTTCATATGTTCTTTAATTGAAGGAATGCTGTCCTTGCTTTGCCAATACTTCATTGATACGTTTTCATTTTTCCTCTCCAACTATATTCCTGATCTCTTTCTTATAGTTACTGGTGCTACTATTATTTCAATTACTGCCATTCATCTTAATAATTTTGTCCTGTGCTGACGTAACACGGTAACAGGGGAGATGCTAAGGTTATTAAGTCTCTTATTACATGTTGGTTATATTTTGAAATGCTCATCTCCATGACAATAACATTTGCTGTTACCTGATTGATTGATTGTTATCTTTCGTTTGCTATTTTATGTGTTATAACGTGATTGGATGTTCCAATATGAACAGATTTATTCCTTCTTAGTTTTAGACTTCTGTACGAGATATAAAGTTATCCTAGAGGCCCCATTCTCACTATCTCATATGAATGCGTGGATTATTGACATTAAAGTGTTTTTCTGGCATCAGATGTACGGTCTATTAAAGCTCTTATTCTATTCGTTGCGTCGTATTAGAAAAAGCCTCAATCATTCGTAAAGACGATTTACCCACATGAAACTTCAATACATTAATCGTTTTTACTAAGGTTCAACAATCATAAATGAGAAGTTCTAATATCCAATTCAGTGGCTATGATTCCCCCAGTACTGCCAATTTGTATCTTCTCATTTCAAATGCTATTTGACTGGTCTTCTCATTCCGCCACATTGTCCGGACATTCCATGTAATTATAAAAATCGTTGTTCTGATTGTCAGAGAAAGGGCATCAGCCTCGTGACTTCAGAAGAATCTCGACTTTCATTCTGAAGCGTCATAATTCTTCCTTCAACTCTAACGGCAAAGTTTAAATGGTTTAATTTGTTTTTAGCAAGACAGGGTTGCCGATCCTATGCCCAACCCTCTTCCTCCTCCTTACCCCGGAACTTTGGACCGACAGTAACTTAAGAAGAGCTACAGGCGTCTATATCAAAACCAATTAGTATATGTAATAAACTGGTGAACAACAACAACAAAAAAAAAAAACAAACAAACCCAGTTACCTGAATATCGGAATTCAATGCAACACCAAATTGATTAGTATGTTCAATAATTTTGGAAGAACTTCTATTTGAATTTTTACATGTCATTGATTGTGTACATGAATATTGTGCAATTGGAGACATTAATCGATATACTTTTTCTTTATTTGAATAATTCACTAAAACTAATACAGTTGAATGAATACAATGATTCTTCAATGGAGGTTGAATATTATAATTATTATCAATGCATACATCTTGTATACGTAAGACTTTACATCGACTAGCTGAATACTAAAATAATTAAAAATAAATAATAATTATAAAATAATAAAACATAAAAACAATCCTCTTCTATAATGATTTAAGAACCGTTCTAATGTACATTAAAGATATCACCATTTATTGTCAGTCAGTCAGTTAGTCAGTGGTCTTGAGTGTTGTTAGAGGTATGAGGGCGGTTATCACTTCCCGGTTGCCCACACCGTGGAAGGGTTCTGCTGGAGGTAACTGAAAAGTAAATTGGGTTAGAGGTGGTCATAGTGACTTGAGAGCGTGACCGCAGTGTCCAAGGGACAACTGCTTGAGGTCGGTCACACATGACCTTTTTATGAGTAATTTTTGTGTTAGCTTCGTACTTGTTGAGACCTTACCGCTGCAGACGGATATCCGTGGGATAAGGCGAGGTGTGCATCTTTAGAGTCGACCTTTTCTAACCCCACCCCTCCTTGTGAGAAGGCAGAATTGCTGCTATGCTGGTTGTCTGAAGGAAACAGCTTACTGCTGTCACACCTCTGGACAGTTAGCAGTACGACTTCGCCCTCAAACCTTGGGTTTGTTGCTTTTAGTCTTACCGCTCTTCAACTGACCTGTCTGGCATGGTTGGACCTTGAGGAACGGTTGTTCCAGCCAGTATAGCTCAGTTGCTTCATCACGATAGGCAAGCCCAACGACCACGTCAAGGTAGCATCAACGGTCGTGACCATCTATTGTTGTAAATTGTGTTGCCTAAATATAAATGCTACTGAGAGTTTGATACTTCAGATAAAATACTGCTTAATGTCTTGTCTAATAATGGTAGCTAAAGCATTTAAAGAAGTGATATAAAAAGCTAAATGTGTGGTTAAACATGTTATGCAATAAATGATAACATATTATCATAAAGGAGTCAACTTCCTTATTGTCAAAAGAAGCATTATATATGATTTGTAAAGGAAGAGTATCCCAAGCCATTCCATTGAGAAAGTTCTAGAACTTGTGTTATTTAGACCCTTACTAAATTACTACACAATAATATTCCTTAACCATAAAGTCAATAAGAAAATTCATATCGTACACTTTCGTAGTACTTCTCAATAAGGCATAACCAGTTCATTTTACTCGAATAATAGATTGTTAACAGATCTTGTTGATTGGTACTGATAAAGCAAGGATATCGTCATATACATCTATTGTTTCCAAGCTCTATAATTGAGAAGAATAGGAATGAAATTTCGGTTACTAACTATTCTACTGCTGAAGTATAAATACTACGATAGATTCGTCGATGAAAAGTGAGCTTATTTATTATTTATTTATTTTTAACACATGGGCATTTGTACAAGGAGGCAACAAATACATATGCGCCACACAAATCTCAATTGATTTGTGTGAGGGCTGTGATACTGCCCGGGTGCCCAAACCGAAGCGGGTGGTTTTCTTAGGGGGCCACACCCCGAGCCTTTGACCTGAACGTCTAACCCACAAGGCAGTGGAGCATCGTAAGGAGATGCAGTCCCATGGTATACGGTGACAAACGATTGGTTCATACGCCATTTGTTCACGCATGTGCACCATTGGTTTGGAATCCGGTTAAAGCACCGGACATTCGCTTTTCGTCCTCTCATTTTTGTAAACAACACCCCCGCCGCCATGAGAAGGCAGTGAGTAGGACTTCCCTGGTAGAGGCTATATACGCGTGGCCATGTGAGAGCATTTGCAGAGGGAGAGAGGACTCTCCCCACTCTCGGCCGTACCAGAGCTTCATCTCCTTACGATGCTCCACTGCCTTGTGGATTAGATGAAAGGCTCGGAGTGTGGCTATCTAAAAAAACCACCTGATTCGGTTTGAGCATTCTGTAAGTATTATTGCCCTCACACATATTGAATGAGATCTGTGCGTGGCACATATGTATTTTGGTGCCTCCTTTTACCAATATGCTATATGTTAAAATAAAATAAATAAATCTCTGATAATGGTCATATAACAGAATTTTGAGAGAAAGAATTGACTCTTTCCTGAATCCAAGCTGTTCCATTATTTTCTACAATTGATGTTAAGTTGTTTTGTTATTTATCTATTCTGTAAATAATCTAACGATTATAATTAAAAAAACAAAATAATAAACACTTACATAATTTGGTAAATTGATACATTGAGTTTTATACAATTTTGATAAATTGAAATATGAAGATAAAATAGACCATGAAATTAATTGTTTTGTATGAGTTTTAAATAAAACTAAAAAGGCATATTGATTATTGAATATAAATTGTGATGAATTCGATTGATTACTAGTATTATTACTACTATTTAATGAAATAAGTAGTACAGCCCAATAATGTTTAAATTTTTTAGAAAATGTACGTGAAAATAGAGATTTTCTAAAATATTTACAATGACAATGTGTAGAAATAGATTGAGGATAGAAATGTTCATTTCTATATTCTTTAGATTGTTCAACTTCATGGATATTATTATTATTATTAGTATTAGAAGAAGAAGAAGAGGAGGAGGAGGAGGACGAGGAAGATGATAACGAACTAGACGATTCTAATGTCATGGAAGATAATGAAGTTTGTGAATAGGAATATGAAAGATTAGCATTAATAGTTGGTGATGATGATGAATATATTTCATGTGTATATGACTTATTTTGTTGTTGTTGTTGTTGTTGTTTTTCAATTGGTGATTGATTATCATTATTGACTTGTAATTCCAATGTTGATAGATTCATATTATGAAGAGTTTGAGAAAATGGATAAGTGGAAATATTCAAATGATCTGTCGTCAATGAAGTTGACAATTGTGTTGGTGGTGGTGGTGGTGGTGATGATGATGATGTATTACTACTGATTGATGAGGAATGATGATGGCACTTGGCAATTTTAAATGATGTTAAAGAGGTAGTACAACATAGTAAAGGACCCTAGAGATAAAATACAAAACAATAACAGTAACATTATAATAAGAACAATATCACAATTGATTGATCACTAGGTGGTGACCAATGTCATGCGTGTCTAGTCCTTATTATTAGTACATATCGAATGCTATTGACCATGTGGCAATGTGGCCACAAGTCAATGGGACTCGACACTGCGGGCACTATTGTAAGATTAGATGGCGGTTGGAGGTAGTCGACAGGAAACCATGGACCCAGGTTTCGTGATACTTGGCACTCTTCAGCAAGGTGTACTTGTAATCTTTGAGGTTTCGTGCACGAAACCCGGGTCCAGGGTTTCCTATCGACTACCTCCAACCATCATCTAATAAGAACAATAATCATAGTGCAATATTAGCACTATTAAATTATATCTAATTTGAATCTATGAATTAACGCCAATAAAATAAATATATCCTGATGGGTAGGAATTTGTGTTTCTGATATGTTTCGTGACTTGGTATAACTCACTTCTTCAGAGTACACAGATAAATATGAATTAAGGGTAGTTTTAAATGATGAAAATATAGTCATAATAAAACAGATGGGTATGTTGAGGTGATCCACACAGCATGTATATATATATATATACATATGTCAATCAAGATTGATCAAATTTTAGTCGAAAACGTCAACAACGGGATAATCCAAACTATTTTCATTACACTTACTAACTGAAACAATTTAAAATAGTGAAAATTAAGTTGACAAACTGTTATAACTTGTGCCCTGTCTATTGTATAACGTGACGATACCGCCAGTCAGAGAGTAGTAGTGAATTATCGATCGGACCAGTGACGCACAAAACCCTTACGACCAGTCTAGAGTCCTTATTGATCCTGCTTTCCGTTTAGCCCAGAACACCAAACTCAACATCTCCAATAGGAATTGTCTATTTCAAACATACTGAGTTTATATACCAACCAGACAGAACACACAAGCCAAAATAACAATTGAGGCAGAATAACGTGATTTCATTATATATCATTGATATCTCATTAGCTACTTACAAACATATGTATTGAAATGTGTTAGCGGGACATTGCACGCTTGCGTTGGCGCACGCTGATTGGCTAATCTTTATCCAATCAGCGTTAGCCGATGCTTGGAGAAGGACTCTGAAATCTTCTCATGTAAAAAACTATAAATATGCTAACGTTTTCCCTATTGTGCTTCTTACTTCCATCTAACCTTGTTATTTGGAATATAATCTCTTTCCTGTTCATCAACCGTGTTCTGATTTGGGGACTTGTCCGAGAATACTAAGCAATAGGAATTAGATGGTTTATAACAGTAAGAGAGAAATATAACAAAATGTTATATATAATTGATAATCTTGGTTATTCTAATTCTTTCTGTTACCAATGTCCATTTGTCTCATATTATATAAATGAATGTTACATTTTAACACATTATAGTGACTAGTGTTATGTCAAGCTTACATATATGATTCTAGCTTGCGGACAGATCAACGTATTCATTCTTTTAGAGTCACATTTCGACCTCGTCACAATTCATTGCTTATCAACCTTGACTGTTTTTATGTGAGCCTATTTTTGTGCATTACTTATTATACTCATCACATGTCTGTAGGTTATTTTTGTTCTGATTATAAATATTGAGTAACGCTTGATTAAAATAAGTTGGCTCCCTCGTCTTCTCCATATTGCCCCCAAATGCCCTGGTACGGCCGAGAGTGGGGGGAGTCCGCTCCCCCTCTCGAAATGCTCCCACATGGCCACGCGTATACAGCCTCTGCCAGGGAAGTCCTACTCACTGCCTCCTCGTGGCGGGGGTGTTGTTTACGAAAATGAGAGGACGAAAGGCGAATGTCCGGCGCTATAACCGGATCCCAAACCAATGGTGCACATGGGCTCCAGTATCCTGAATAAACAAATGGCGTATGAACCAATCGTTGGTCAACGGCTACCATGGGACTGCATCTCCTCACGATGCTCCACTACCTTGTGGATCAGATCTTCAGATCAAAGGCTCGGGGTGTGGCCCCCTAAGAAAACCACCTGCTTCGGTTTGGGCACCGGGGCAGTATCACAGCCCTCACACATATCAAATGAGATATGTGTGGCGCATATGTATTTGGTGCCTTCTTGTACCGATATTTATGTGTTAAAATAAATAAATAATAAAACTTCTCCATATTGCTTCATTTTCCATTATTCCAACGAAATTATTCGCTACACTTTCTCCATTTCATTTCTCTGATTATCTATCCGGATCAACGAGTATACAAAACATACGTATTTAACATTTACTTTCGTATTTGATTGACTTATTTCATTCCAATGGTTGAGATCATGAGTCAATTGAAGCTAGACAACCATGGAAAACCTGGAAGAACTGGATGGCCGTTTCGTCCTATCGTGGGACTCCTCAGCAGTGCGCGTACACGATCTCGCCTCGCGAGATCGTAGGCGATGAGAAACCACAAAATCTGAAAAATTCACATTATTCTGCCTCAATTGTTATGACCTGTGAATATTATATTTTTATTATCAGCAATAAAGTTTTTCATTTCGTCATAATCTTTCCTTCTCTATACAACTAAGTGATTAAGAGTTAAGAGCTACAACGTTAGGATCAGGCACATATATGCATTGGTCCAAGTTGCCATACCTCATTAGCACAACAAGATGAACACCAAATTCATAGAAGTGGTTAATTCAATGGTGGTAATATATAAAAGAAAGATTGTATAGTACAAGAAGAAAGAATTAGTTGGTAGAAGGAAAGATATGAAATGATTTTAATCTCTTAGTTTAAAGGAAGACAGAGAGTGTATACATCTACGCGATTGTGATCGATTCTGAACTATGTCACCCACAGTCTCCAACCGTTGGTTACGATAGTCACACGGACCCCAACCAAGTAGTCTGCATCTACCAACATGGCTCAAACCCGAAATTAGCGACTTTAAGGTCTGATACCATGTTTTGGTTTGACCACTCCTAACTTTCTTCCAGCTATGTTCAACACTAGTCAGTATTTGAGCATCGTGGTAATCGGTGTTCAGGTATATGTAACACGTAGCCCAATCATTTCAATCGATGAACATTCACAACTTCATCAACTGATTTATCATCATGGCTTGCGTCTAGCCTCATCATTGCTTATTCAGCGATCTCAACAGATACAAGCAATATTTCTATGACATTTGTGGTCAAATACTAGTAGCTTACGAGTATCAAACAGCACAACGTTAACCTCGAAAGAGATACACTAAAAAAGATGAAGCAAAATATGAAATACTCAAAACAAAAAAAAAATAAGGAAGCTTACTTCTCGAATTACTTCTAAATTATTTGCTAATTTTATATTTAAATAAGTTGAGTTTATTGGAGAAGATTGTGAATGAGAAAAATTCGATGTTGACATTAAAACCGGGGAATGATGCTGCTGATGATGATCATGATGATGATGATGATGATGAACAAAAGTAACATTCTCATCATTTATCATCTGTTTATAATCATTATTATTGGAAATGGTTACTTGAACAGCTGCAACAGCAGCTAAAGCTAAATGAGATAGATTTTTAGAAGAATCATGTTGAAATTGTTGTTGATGTGATGATAATTTAGATAAATTTAATGATGATGATGATGATGATTTCATTTTGGATGTAGATAATATAAATGGAAAAGTTTGTGAAAGACGATAATGAATTGGATCGATATGATTTCTTATTGGTGTAGTACAAATATTAATTGAATAATCTTTCTGAGGTGATATAAACAATGATTGATGGAGTATTGAAGGTGAACTACTACTACTACTACTACTATTAGGTGGAGAATTATGAAGTAATCGTTTAGCAACAGAAATTTTCTTCCCATCTAAAATATGAAAAGAACAAGAATTACAGTATAAGTCGAAATGTGAAAGTGTTATGTCTTTTTGGTGATATATATATATATATATACATATATATAGTCAACATTATTCGTATGGGTGCAAGTGAGATAATCAATGCATATGAATATGATCATTTAAGCTCATCATTAATAACACATGAAACCCATAGTGCAATAATTACATGAATACGGTGCTAGTTTGTTGAACATAAGTACACAAAGAATCATTATAGTGCATAGTTTGGTGCGACACTCGCTCACTCACTCACACAGACACACACACACAGTATACGTGTATCAACATAAAAGATGATAGAAAATGATAGAGAATTGTGCGCTGAATATCTAATTAACTAAAATTAAAAGTAACTCTTGGATTTAGTGATAATCACTGTGAATTATGATAATATTACTAGCAATAAAATGTATTCAACAAGGTGAAAAGTAGAAATGTGATAGCACTCGATTATATCACTAATAATGATTTAAACAATGAAATTATGAATATATCTTCTATGTAATCTTCTTCGAATTCGATGGTCTGTTACTTCCAATGAAGCATAGGCCGCCGATCAACATTCTCGAACCCACTCTATCTTGGGTTTTTCTTTCTGCTTCTATCCAATTATTGTTCATTCTTTTCATGTTTATCTATATTTCTCAACTTATTGTGTTCTTTAGTCTTCCTGTCCTCATTTGGCCTTGAGTATTCCATGTGAGGGCTTGCCTTATGACGCAGTTGGTTGCTTTCCCCAATGTATGTCCTAACCACCTCCAGCGTTTCTTCCTCCGCTTTAATCTGGTTTGTTCTCTCCTATAGTAGGCTGACCAACTGATTTGAAGTATTTTGCGTAGACAACTGTTAATAAACACTTATATCTTCTGGGTGATGGCTTTCGTAGTTTTCCAGGTTTCCACCCCATACAGTAAAACTGTCTTGACATTTGTATTGGAAATTCTGACCTTAGTGCTGGTTGCTAATTATTTTGAATTCCAGATGTTCTTCATTTGTCAATATGCTGCTCTTGCTTCGCCGATCCACACCTTCACATCTGCATTAGATCCACCGTGTTCATCAATGATATTGCCCAGATATGTAAAAGTTTTCACATCTTTCAAATTTCCATCAAGTGTGATTCGATTGTTGCATGCTGTATTGTATCGGAGAATCTTGCTTTTCCTTTTGTGATCTTCTATGTAGTAATAGTAGTATGTGTTATTTATTTCTTAGCAATTATAGTTAACTTCCTGAATAGTTGTTCCGTTCTTGAATACGACTTGTTATTAATAAGCAACTACACAGAATGGAATTGAAGACAATATCTTGTGATGAATTAAAATCCTACAGTAGGGATAAAGGATGCAAACAACAACAAGAGTATTCAACCATAACGAAACACCTGTTGAATATTGAAAATAAGTTGTTTTTTTTTAAGTTGATAAATATGGCTATGTAGAGCTGAAGGTCTCATATAAGGCTAGAGATTCGCCTTTGATATTGTGGATGATTCGGTATTACTTTAGCAAGTTTTGCTGACTGTTCATGCACAAAATTAGTTTGTTGGTTAACCGATCTCATTCATACTGGTGGTTACTTTTCAGTGTTCTCGAGGGCCATTTGTCATTGGGACATTTTAAGGCATGTCAACATTGGTAACATTAATGAGTTTGACTGTTATGTAAGCGGAATAGGTCAACTTTGGCCTGTTCGTGCCGTGCATATTTGATTCACGCGATCATTGATCGGAATAACTACACAGGTGATGTGAATGTGTATATGAATGGTGCAAATAGTCCACCAAGGTGCTTGATACCTATGTGGTTGCACTACACGATTGAGATGTACTATTCAGATTGTAGCCTTAAAGCCTATATAGTGTCTGGCTCTCCTGTTAAACGGGCTTGGGCTGTACTGTTTGAGTTGTCACGTGAAAGTCTGGACGATGTCTGGTTCTCCTGAAAACCGATGTAAAATTACCCTGGCCCACAAGGCTATATTATATAATTATATAAGTTGATAAATGCTATCTCATTATGGAAAACCATCTAGATATCATATGTAAATCTTGAAAAGACCTGTTGAAATCTTACACCAACCAGTCAAGGAATTCTCAATGGGAATATATAATATTCCTTTTATAACAAATAGGTGAAAAATCACTAAGACATGTGAATTACAAGTGCATAAACGGAATTGTGGAAACAAAAGTAACAATTCATATGTAGTTGTGATTGAACAAATGAAATGAGTCTTGCATAACAACACACAATGGTAGCTAATATCCATCCCCCCACACACACGTACGCACACACTCACAACGAGTAAATTCTATTACTTACTATATACATTTCAATATATTAGGCCATATAAATGCTTGGATATATATGTACAGAATCTAAAAAAAAACACACCTTAAATACATAGACAAAAATAAAACTGGGTGGTAGGGGGTAGGGGAGTGACATAAACATAGTATTCAATCCTAATTCTTTCACCCTCTCTCTCTCTCTGTCTGTCTGTCTATCTCCCTCCTAAATCAAGTTATATAAGTATCCATAGTTGAAAAACGAATAAAAAAAACAACAAAAAAAACACAACCCAATTTAATTTAAAGTCTTGTAGTGAATTTACGTTCAGTAGATGGATTACAATGGGATAGATTTTTCTTTTTTTGATAATGTTTACTATGTAAATCATTACATGTTGTATTCGTAATAAGCATTGTAGAAGATTTATGCTTACTACTAGTACTACTATTACTATTATTATTATTATCATTGTCAGTAGTAGTAGTAGTAGTAGTAGTAGTAGTCGTAGTGATATTTGTATATTTTTTCTGTTCAATATTTGATATTCCTGGAGTATAATTGTATTGATGTTGTTTTATTCTACGACATGGTGTAACAGGAGCAGTTTTTGTATTCGATATATCATGAAAGAAAATAGATGATTGATAACATTGTGAATCCATTGATTTAGATTCCATAATACATGGTAATTCAATAACAGAATGATGCGATGATGAAGGTGATGATGATGATGATAATGATGATGATTTTGATGAATAAATAGGCGTTAAATGGTTAGTAATCATTTGCTCTTTTTTTATAGATTGTTTATTATGATTATTAGTCTTATTATCTGGATTATTTAAATAATCAGTGAATACAAGAAGTTGAGGTGAAGATGTCGAGGAATTAGACGAGGAATGATTAAATATTAAATTAAGATCATCATTATGTTGTTTAGATGAAGTAGTTTTCATATTGGTATTAATATGATTATTATTAGTATTATTATTGATTGATTTTTTGAGTATTGTAGGTGAGGAGGATTTGTTAATGAAACCATGGTTCTGATTGGATAAGGAATTTTTTGTTGATTCACTATAGGATAGGATTGTGACAAGTAATAAAAATATAGGCAAGAGTATAAAAAAGCGCACAATAAATAAGTACAGAGGTAATTGTATATTAAATAAATAAGTTAGACATATAAACGTGTAAATCCGCTCGGAGCATCTCTGGAGCTACTGCCGTTTCCAAGCCCGAGATAAAGGAGGAGGGTCGGGTATGGGGTTAGCGATCACATCCCGTGAAAAAAACGCTAACCATTAACTAAGCTCTTCAAATGAATTATATATATATATGGTTAAGAGATAGACTCGTAAATGTAGTGTGAAGGGTGGGGTGGGGTTATGGAGGTTTTAGGTGATTGAAGATAGTTCGAAATAAGCCATGGATCTAGGTTTCGTGATAATTGGATCTGGTCTCGAAGGTATACATACAGTCTTAAAAGAACTGATGCTCCTATAGGATTCAAATATGCATTACCCAGCTTCACAGTCTGAGATGTTACCATCACTGAATTATTCGTCGTGATCTGATATTAAAATATTGCAGTAAAATTATGTATATCAATGAGAGACTGTTGAAGGACTGAAAAATCATAGTTCATAGAAAGAATAACAGGGTTGAAAGGAATATATTGTCAAATTCTGATTATCATGCGTGACCAAAATAAAATTTTTTATCTTCCAACGAAGGTGAGAGTATCATACTCAGCACTCCACTTTTTATTACTCTACATATATTGAAACATGACCTATTAAAAATAGTAGACATGCGTAAACTGCCGGTTCTTGATCATATTTGTCTTCGACGCATCGATTACACATGTTGGGACAAATAAGTGAGCAATACTGAAGTTAGATGGAGAGTAACAGGCAAAGCTGATTGCGAATTTCCATCAAATGAAGTGGTGTAGGCATACGGTATGTATGCTCAACTATAGTGTAACTCGACAGGCAATGTTGGTTGGAATAGGAGCAGATTGGAAGATAGTTAGGGATGCCAGGATAAAAAATGACAATAGATCATGAAAACACTGAGTGTTCGATAGATATCTTGAGCTAGGACTTAAGTTTCTTTCCTTCAATTTATTTGTTCGAACACATAAATATTAGTACAAGGGGGCACCAGATACGTATGCGCCATACAAATCTCATTTAACTTGTGTGAGTGCTGTGATACTGCCTGGCTGTTCAAACTGAAGCAGGTGGTTTACTTAGGAGGTCACACTTGAAGCCTTCCACCTAATGGTCTAATCCACAAGACAGTGGAGCATCGTAAAGAGATGCAGTCTAATGGTAGCCGGTAACCAATAATTGTTTCAGGATCGTGCAGTCAACCCATCTGGACCATTGGTTTTCCAATTCATCTAGGTAGACTCTCCGTGTCCACCAAACCGGTTAAAGCCGCGGATATTCGCTTTTCGTAAACAACACCCTCGCTACGAGACTGCAATGAGTAGGAATTCCATGGCAGACAATATATATAATTAGTGACTTACAGATTATCAACAGATAATTTCATATTCCTATCAAAACGCGGTGATCGAGGTAAAAGATGACTACTGCTACCAGTGTTAGTAGTACTGGTATTAGTTGAAGTAGATAAATTTTGTTTATTTTCAGTCTATAAGGAAGATTAATTAAAAAAAAAAGAAAAACAGATCATCAAATAATTAACTTTAACTAAGGAAACATATAAAAGTTAAACAGAAGTTAACACTGGATCTATGAAATCAACACAAAATGTGATATCAAGTATTGATCATGTGAAATAATAACTATTTCGGCGCCTATCTCTGTTTGGGTTGTCGCGTGAAAGTCTGGACGGTGTATGGTTCTCCTGAAAACCGATGTAAAATTACCCTGGCCCACAAGGGTATATTATATAACTGTGAGGCCCCCAAATGCCCTGGTACGGCCGAGAGTGGGGAGAGTCCGCTCATCCTCTCCAAATGCTCTCACATGGCCATGCGTATATAGCCTCTGCCAAGGAAGTCCTACTCACTGCCTTCTCGTGGCGGGGGTGTTGTTTACGAAAATGAGAGGACGAAAAGCGAATGTCCGGCGCTTTAACCGGACCCCAAACCAATGGTGCACATGGACTAGCTCCAGTATCCTGAAGGAACAAATGACGTATGAACCAATTGTTGCTCACCGGTTACCATAGGACTGTATCTCCTTACGATGCTCTACTGCCTTGTGGGTCAGACGTTCAGGTCGAAGGCTCGGAGTGTGGCCCCCTAAGAAAACCACCTGCTTCGGTTTGGGCACCCAGGCAGTATCACAGCCCTCACACAAATCAAAATTGATTTGTGTGTATGTACTTGGTGCCTCCCTATCTCTTATATCGATTATTTTCTTTGATCAATTTACTGTAGCCGATGAAAAAGATTCCAGAAACCTTCTATAAACTGATTGGGACACGTTATATATATATATATATATATATATATATATATATATATATATATATATATATATATATATATATACTTCGATAATATGATGTATCGGCCAGTTTGAATATCTGATCTACCTGTTCCTACTGTTTATATATTACAAAAGGTCGAATCACAGATATTGTGGTTATTGACAATATGCAATGAAAAGAATATACATTATTTAGATATCAATTGATAGAACTATTAACTTCTAACTGGCAACTATTCAATATGTTATTGTCAATATCGATCAAGAATTAAGAAATGGAAACTTGTTGAAGTAAAACATTAATGCTACAAGAATGCAATGAGTAGAACTTCAATGACAGTGGTTGTATACAACATGTGGTCATGTAAGAGTATTTGAAGATAGAGAGTTGACTCTCTTGACTCTCAGCAGTACTACGGCATTTGATGGCTAAAACACAAAAAGATTGAACAAAATTGTTATATATCCAAGTGAAGATTAAATTACAGATAACTTTCGAGGATTATTAATGAACTAATATTCTATAAATAATCTTATGGTATAACTATTCAGTAATTATATCACGTATATCTATAATCCTCTTATCATAAGCTTCCATTTGACTTATAATTTATTATTATACAATTTACTATCCCTAAATTATACTCAATTTATTAACTACTGTCTGCCACGTTGACAACCACATTTTGGCTTTATTGTGTATAAATGTTATTTCCTATTTTATGATGCGTTCCGGTCTGTTTGTTTGGTATATAAACCTAGTATGGTTGAAATATATGATTCGGATATTGGAAGCTGGTATTGGTGTTTTGAACTCAACTGGACAGGCTAGGTGAGCATAGGACTAATAAGGACGCTAGGCTGTTCATACTGGTCGGACGTCATTGGTTTAGCACAATTTGTGAAGATTGTATAAGTTGTATTTCGATTGACGGATAAGTCACATGATAACTAGATGGACAAAAATAAGGGAAATTTTAAGTAAACGTCGGTTACTGGAAGCAGATTATTATCTGTGCTTAAAAACGTAAACATTATTTCATCACCGGTCAACTATTGGTTCTAATCATAATCGCAACTTTAAAATAATGGTTAGGCTTACAAATTCAACAATAATTGGATATTGCTGAGATTTCTGTTGTCAGGAGTGAAGCTGAAATGCCAAAAGCTACTTATAAAACAACTGTTCCATGAGTACTGAGATCACGCTTATAGATTAATTTCTTGTTTTGAATACTTCAAGAAGTATTCTTCTAACATGTTGTTAAAAAACGGGTACTAGGTAAGGATGGCAAATCAATTGAGGAAGTAGTGAAACTTAATCAGTTGAGATGGTTGGGACATGTGCTGCGCATGCCCGACCACCGACTGCCCCGACGTGCTATGTTTTATGGTGTAGGAGTACGTTGGAAGAAAGTTAGGGGCGGCCAGACCAGAACATGGCAAAAATTCATGAAGTCACTGACAAGTGGACTGAGTCATGTTGGTAGGTGTAGACTACCTGGTTGGGGACCACGAGATGATAGCAACCGATGGTTAAAGACTTTGAATGACATGGCTCAAAATCGTTTGGAATGGTGTGCGCAGGTGCATCCACTCTTTGTGTTCTCTCAAACTCTAATCTTTTGTATTCTTCATGTCCTGTATTTTCTTTCCAAATCTATTCCACTGGACTATACTCCATAAATAACATCATCAAACCTTAATGTTCCCTATCACTACCTCTTTCACTACGGGATTTGAATCGATAACTGAATCACTGTGCTAATGTGATGTATGGCAACTCGAACTGATGTACGTACGTACGAAGTCCCACGTTGTTACTGACTGACTGAACATGTGAACAATCAGGAAGTAAGGATCATTGAAAACCATTCTAAACCAAAAATCTCTATATATAGGATTCAAGTTTGTTTTATTCACTCAAATATAACCGTTTAGCATAGATTGTAAGGAATTGATGAACAAATAGAAATGAAAGAGGTATATCGTTATTTAATCATAAAAACAAGGATATATATATATATATACATATAAAACTTACAGTATCAATAGTTAGTGTTGTATCATTATCACAGAATAACAGTCCGAATCCTTTATAAAAATAAATAAATGAATATATACATATATATATATATAAGTTGAGAGATTAGGGAAACGTTGATTTTTCTCGCTTTAAAAACAATGAATGAACTAATGATTGCTAGTTTCTCACCTCTACCACTAAGGGATTTGAATCGACAACTGCATCTCTGTGCTAATGTGGTATGGTAACTCGAACTGATGTATGTATGTATGTACGAAGTTCTAAGTTGTTACTGACTGACTGCTGGTTTCTTAAAATAGGCCTTCAAATTATAGGAGGAAGATCTTAAGTGAGTAAATGATACACCTAAAATTATATAACTCATTTCATTAATAAATATTCTAAAATATTGTATTGTAAATGTATACTGTGTCTTTGAAACTCATAAACATTATTATTATTATTTTATTATTTTAACACATAAGTATAGGTACAGGGAGGCACCAAATACATATGCGCCACACAAATCTCAATTGATTTGTGTGAGGGCTGTGATAATGCTCGGGTGCCCAAACCGAAGCAGGTGGTTTTCTTAGGGGGCCACACTCCGAGCCTTTGAACTGAACGTCTGACCCACAAGGCAGTGGAGCATCGTGAGGAAATGCAGTCCCATGGAAGCCGGTGACCAAAAGTTGGTTCATACGCCATTTGTTCCTTCAGGAAACTGGAGCCCATGTGCACCATTGGTTTGGGGTCCGGTTAAAGCGCCGGACATTCGCTTTTCGTCCTCTCATTTTCGTAAACAACAGTAATGCCACGAGAAGGCAGTGAGTAGGACTTCCCTGGCAGAGGCTATATACGCATGGCCATGTGAGAGCATTTCGAGAGGGAGAGCGGTCTCTCCCCACTCTCGGCCGTACCAGGGCATTTGGGGGCAACCCATAAACATACATGATATAAACATGTATATTCATAGAATCTTAAGTGAACAGTGTGTAAAATCACCACACCTTACTGTTTGTCTATTTGAAGATTCAATAACGAATAATTTACACACTGGTGCTGTAAGTATAAGATTTAGTTCGACTGAAGAACAAAATCTTCAAGATTGGATTATAGTAGACAGATGGTGAAGGATATTCAGTTGAATGAGATTGTAAGAAATAGGAAGCATCAAGATACTCTTCAAAGATACCTATGCTTTCGTTTTTAAATGTAATAAAGAAATTTACTCCATTGAAAAAGTCTTAGTTTCTTCTGAAATGATGTCCACTGAGTGTTGTGATGTATTAAGCAATTGCAAAATGATGTAGGGATCTGACAACAGTAAGGTGTTTCTTTAAGACAACCAGAATGACAGCGATGCTGCCTTCCCACAATTATAGGTGGGATTAGAAAAGGTCAACCCTAAAAATACACACCTCGCCTTATCCCACAGATCTCCGTCTCCGGCGGTAAGGTCCCGACAAGTACGGAGCTAACATGAAAATTACTCATAAAAAGGTCATGTGTGACCAACCTCAAGCAGCTGTCCCTTAAGCACTGCAGTCACACTCTCAGGTCACTATGACCACCTCTAATCCAATTTCCTTTTCAGTTACCTCCAGAAGAACCCTTCCACGGTTTGGACAACCGGAAAGTGATAGCAACTCTCATATCTCTAACAGCACTCAAGACTGACGGACACCACTTGCAACCAATCGACACCTCCTTCAAATCCAGTGTAAACCAACTGAGATTTGAATAAACACACGAAATGACTAGTAATCATATTATATAAGTTTAACTTAAACCCTAACATATGAACCTAGTAACAATGATCTCATACATTTAAAATAATACTATTCACTAATAGTTGTTACGTTCTAAAAGAGTCATTTCAGTTACACCTAGTACGGTGAATAGCGTTCTTTTTTACGAGCTGCTTTAATTACTCAAATAGAGCAAATAAAGAAGAAGTATATTGTTTGATGATCAATTTTTAATGAATTTATTTATATTGAATTTGGGAAAATAAACGCTTATACCCACACTATAGTCTAATCACAACTCATTGAATAGGTTATCTTCATGGAACTAAATGATCTATAGAAAAAGAGGGTCGATCAATTTGATTGGTCACTGAGTTTTTTTTAAAAAAAACAAAGTATTGCCCCCAAATCCCTGGTATGGCGGAGAGTGGATTGGGCCCGCCCTCCATCCCTCCCTCCCTCTCGAAATGCTCTCACACGGCCACGCGTATACAGCCTCTGCCAGGGAAGTCCTACTCACTACCTTCTCACATCAGGCGTGTTGTTTACGAAAATGAGAGGACAAAAAGCGAATGTCTGGCGCTATAACCGGGTCCCAAATCAATGGTGCACATGGGCTAGCTCCAGTATCCTGAATGAAAAAATGGCTTATGAACCAACCGTTGGTCACCGGCTAACATGGGACTGCATCTCCTTTCGATGCTCTACTGCCTTGTGGACTAGACCTTTAGGTCAAAGGCTCGGGGTGTGGCCCCCTTAGAAAACCACCTGCTTCGGTCTGGGCACCCGGGTAGTATCGCAGCCCACACACAAATAAAATTTTGTGTGGCGCATATATATTTGGTGCCCTGTTGTACTAATATTTATGTGTTCAAATAAATAAATAAATAAAATTCAGCTTAATTATCAATAAATATGTGGTTTCCTTAACTCTTATTGACTTCTACACTGGACTCATTGAGAGTGACTGTATGTAACTTTGTGGAATACGGTATTGTTAAGGGTTAGCTTTGATCATGAATCGAGTATGTGCTATAATGTGGTCCGATCTGTGTATAGAGGATAATTCGAGTAATCAAACTAGCGGTATTATAAAGTCAGTCACTCAGACCGATTTCATTATTATATAATCGTTGTAGAGTAGTATACCGAAGAAGGAAAAACACTTAAATCTATATGTCATATCAAGAAACTGATACGGCCGAAAATGGGGAGAGTCAACTCTCCTTTTTCCAAATGCTCTCACATGACCACGTGCATACAACCATTGCCAGGAAAGTCCTACTCACTGCGTTCTTGCGGCATTACTGTTGATTACGAAATCGATAATACAAAAAAAGCGAATGTCTGGCGCTTTAACCGGGTAAGTAGAAATGGAGGACCCATCTAGGGGAGTTGGAAAACCCTGATTCCAAACCAATGGTACACATGGATTGGTTCTAATGGAGTATGAATTTGTTGGTGGTTACTAGATACCATAAAACTGCATCTCTTGACATTACTCTATTGTGTTGTGGATAAGACCTTTAAGTGAAAGGCTCCTGGTGTGGTCTCCTAAGTAAATCACCTCCTTCGGTTTGAACACCTGGACAGTATCACAACCCTCACACAAATGGCGTATATCTATCTAATTGGTGCCTTATTGCACCAATATTTATGTGCTTAAATAAATAAATAAATAAATAACTGTGTCACATAGAATTTTAATAATGATTCATAAGTAATTTGATGAAGTAAACTATTTAAACCAATTAATTCTTACCTCCCCAACTGCCTAGTTTTCGATGAGTTGGTCGTTTACGAGGTCGTTGAATTGAATTCACTACAGAATAATGTGATGTTAAACAATGAATATTGGATGGTTTTGAAATATCTTCTTGAGAATATGTTTGTTTAACACGAGGTGGTGGAGGTAGAATTGGTGGTTCAATTAAATCATATAATATTGAATTAGATTTAATTTGTTTTTCCAGTTGATTTACTGTTGAATTAAATGTATTACTATTGTTAGTATGTTTTGTTCCTGTTGTTTTATTATTTATAGTTGATGTTTTACAGGATGATGATGATGCTGATGATGATGATGATGGTGATGTTGTGGTAGTAGTTTTAATGGAAGACAATGTTGTCGTTGTTGTTATGGTAACACAATTGGAAGTAATATTTGTTGTACAATTATAAATTGGTACAGGTTTTAATATATTATTATTATTATTATTTAGAAATGAATAATTTGGTGGAACAGTATTTTGACGTGATATATCTAATGAAGATGATATAGGTGGAGGTTCTAATTGAATAGATAATTTATAATTTGCATCTTCAATAAAACGTTGAAGTTCTTCTATGTAACGTTGTGCTTCTAAATAACTGGCTATGGATTCATTTCGAACAAAAGCTGATAAAACAGAGGAAGGTAGTATTTTTCTTTATTCTTTTTTTTTTTTAAACAAAAGATAATTCAATATGAAACTGACATAAAATTAACCAGTACCTTCTTCTTGAACATGTTTTACAAATTTCATCTGAACAATTCTTATATGGATTATAATTTGTGAATACTAGAATTGAGTGAAAGAAGTAGATAGGTAGTGTTTTTACGAGATGACATCTTGGTATGAAAAATAATTGTGTAAGGCTAAGATCATAAGCTCGCCTAGTTGAGATTTTAGAGAGCAGTACACAACTCAATGTCTTAACTGGTTAATAAACATGGGTCAGAATAGTAGTTAACTCCACCTGTAGCTCTTCTAGAGTGACTGGCAGTTCCAAGCCCGGGTAAAGGAGGAGAATTAGGCATAAGGTTATCGATCCCGTTCCGTAGAAAACTAACTCGCTAAAAAAACCTCTAACCAGATCAAATAGCTGGTGGGCGACCTGTGCTCCTCCACGAAAAGTAACAGGCGTAAATAAGTAATTAAGTAAGAACAGAAGTTAATGGTGATCATTTTGCAACTTCATACCATATTTTTCGTGAAACTGAGATGTTTCTTTTAATGTGTATACCCAACAACCGCCTACCTCAACGGGCGATGTCTTCTGGTGTACGAATAGGTTGAAAAAAAGTTAGGGGCGACCAAACTAAAACATGGCACCAGTCCATGAAGTCACTGACCCATATTAATAGCTATAAACAATCTGGGTAGCATCCGTGTGATTATCGTAACCAATAGTTAGAAACGTTAAATGGAACGTCTCAAAATTGATGTATTCAATCTTTGTCTTCCCTTAAATCTTAGGCTTCTAAAGTCTTCATTAATTTTTTTGATTTATTTCACCGATATATAATTTCTTGAATTAAACCATCGATGTCTATTCTTTTCTATTACCACTAATAATGTGACTAACTTTACTATCCTGAGATTTGTCCTCATAATTTTATTTCTTTGTTCTCATGGGGTATGAAGGCTTGACCAGATGTATATACGTACCAGGTTCTACGTTGCGAGTGGATGATTACTGATTATTCATTCGTTCTTTGAGCATTGATATTCATAGGTTACTAGTATTTGATCATAGGTGCCTTCGAAGCACTGATCGTATATCCTGGCACCACCGAGTAAGTAATGCAGTTGTTAGGAAACGCGTACTAGATAAGCATGGCAAATCAATTGATGAAGTAGTGAAACATCATCAGTTGAGATGAATGGGACATGTGTAACGTGCGATGTTTTATGGTGTAGGAGTAAATTGAAAGAAAGCTAGAGGAGACTAGAACATGACACAAATCCATAAACTCACTGACAAGTGGACTGAGAAATGTTGGTAAGTGTAGACTATCTGGTTGCCATCCACGAGATGGTAGCAATCGATGGTTAGAGACTATAAATGATATGGCTCAAAATCGCTTGGAATGGCACAGGTGTATACAGTCTTTACCTTGAATAATATCTTCAAACCCTAATCTTTCCGATTACTGTTTATACTCTTACTACCTCTACCACTATGGGATTTGAATAGACAATTGTATATCTGTATGGTTATGTGATATGGCAACTTGAACTAATGTACATACGTACGAAGTTCTACATTGTTGACTGACTGATGAGTAAATGAATAGACAGTTGATGACATTAACAGAATATAGAATGAATAATTCAAAAAAAAAATTTTTTTTAGGGCTAAACTGTAGAGCATACATTTACAAAATATTTCATAATAACGCTGAAGTGATCTTGAAAGTGTTCACTTGATAACTAGAACCAAATGAGGGTTATAAACTAGTGTGTGGGGACTTAGAACTATAATTTGCAGTTGATGATTAAGGTTAGAAATTAGATTGGGGGGGGGCGTCATCACGAACTGACATCAGCTATAATGCTAAAACTCTATTGATCCAAATAGATGAATGAATGAATTTCGCGCCAAAATCCAAGACTTATTCTCTTATACCTGATTGGTTTGTCCATAAATTATAATCTTGCCCAAATTGTTTACATTAGTTCGAGACGAAAATGATTTTTAGAATTTTAATAAGAAATTATAACTAGTGAAGTTCACAGGGGAATCAGACATCGTATAGGCATTAACGTTACAATCCGAGCAGTGCAGCTCAATCCTGTGGCGCAACCACACATGTACCAAGCACCATGGTGAACCATGAAATAGTTGGTCAAGAAACTTTCAATGATCGTACAAGTGATGTCGATCCTGGACAAAATTTAATGAGTTATGTAAAACTATGATTTCTGCAAAACATAAATGTAGTAAACACATCCAAATGTTTTCGGCATAGAGAAAATTTGTAGTTCGGGTGGATGATTTTCATGGAGCTTTCATCGTTCTTCTGAACGACATCATCAGCACAAATTTCAGGTAGAAATGAAGTGTTCGAAGTTCTTCACATGTATTTCCCGAATATCAAACCAATGAGAGATACAATTAAGACAAATAAGTAAACAATGATGAGTTTAAAATCGACAATAACCAATCAACATAGGGGTCTACAGGACAAGCTGTGAACCATACGTGAAGAAATTCGAACATTTCACTTCTACGTGAAGTTTGTGCTGATGATGTCGTTCAGAAGAACGATGAAAGCTCCATGACAAAACCATTTAGCTTTATCTTTACAATACTATAAATGTTTTTGCTTTCTCTTTATTTGCCTTCCAACAAGCTGAGTTTCTTTCTCGCTGGATTAATTTGTGATGTAGCACAATCTGAGATCACTATACCACATTGTATCTTATAACTCAAGTTGTTTAAGATTAATTCACAGTGATCACAAGTGAAGGTAGTTCTTTATTCCAGCTTACTTTTAACTATGTTTTTTCATTTATTTAAACGCATAAAGGTTGGTACAAGGAGGCACCGAATATATATGCGCTACACAAATCATTCGATTTATGTGAGTGCTATGGTACTACCCAGGTGCCTAGATTGAAGCAGGTCGCTTTCTTAAGGGGTCACACCCTGAGCCTTCGATCTAAAGGTCTTACCCACAAAGCAGTGGATCAATGTCAGGAGATGCAGTCCCATGAACTCTCTGTGGCCACCAAATCGCTTAAAACGACGTACATGTGAGAGCATTGGGAGAGGGAGAGCTGAATCTCCCCACCCTTGGCCGTACCAAGGCATTTGATCATAAGAACATAATGAAAATCGTTGTTGCTTTGTTTCAAAATTGAATAGTTTAAGGAATAACGATACCAATACTACAACTACTACTATTACTACTTATATTAAAATAACATAAATTCGAATATATATTTCATCACTTACGATAGTTGGATTGTTGAAAATTTGCAATAATCCTTAATATATTATTAATTCGATCTTGTTTACCTTGATTAGTCCATGTACTATTTTCACGACGACTATACGATGATGATGCAGCCACGTCAATAAAAGTTAAATCAGATAAATAAACACCTTTAAACATGAAGAACAAGAAAAAAAAGATTAGAAATGAATTAGTTGAATTAATAATGATAGTTATGAAATTCACTTGAAAATATCAAGTGAATAGTTACTATAACAAGTATAGCAATAGCTTAATAGTTAAGGAGTACAACTACTAATCTTCAGGGGAGGTGGACTATGAATACAGTGATCTTGAATGCTGTTAAAGGTATGAGGGCGAGTATCACTTTCTGGTTGTCCATACCGTGGAAGGGTTCTTTTGGAGGTACCTGAAAAGGAAGTTGGATCAAAGGTGGTTTGCAGTGACCAAGGGAAAACTGCTTGAGGTCGGTCACATACAATCTTTTTGTGGGTAATTTTCATGTTAGCTCCGTACCTGTTGAGACCTTACCGCCGGAGGCGGATATCCGTGGGATAAGGCGAGGTGTGCATTTTTAGGGTCAACCTCTTCTAATCCCACCCCTCCTTGTGAGAGGGCAAAATCACTGCTATGCTGGTTGTCTGAAGGAAACACCTTACTGCTGTCACATCTCTGTACAGTCAGCAGTACGACTTCACCTTCGGACCTTGGATTTGTTGCTTTTAGTCTTACCGCTCTTCACCCGACCTGTCTGGCAGCGTAGGACCTTGAGGAACGGTTGTTCCAGCCAGTATAGCTCGATTGGTTCATCACAATACACAAGCCCGATCACCACGTCAAGGTAGCAACAACGGTCGAAACAACTACTAATCACTAAACATAAGGCTTGAACTCAACTCTAACTCAACTGCTTCGGTATAGACATAGACAGGTAGTAACTTTAGTCAACATACTTAAAATGTAGTTGATACTTAATTATTTAATGAATGAGTTAACCTAAACTAATAATGATCAGTTATTATCAGAAGATAGAATGCTAATCGATAGATAAATTGAAACCAATATTTATCCCGAATATCGATTGATGAATAGAAACAAAATTCCAGTTATGTATGCATCATACCGGTAGAGAAAAAAAAGATTTTGACTGCAGAACAATTTCTAATCAACCATTGTTAGACAGATATTACCCCCTGTCCATCCACTCACCACAATGACAAAATCATATAACCACATATGAAATATCATTAAATTTAAGTAAAAAATAAGTTTGGTATTATTAAGTGATGATTAGTTTCTTCAATACAACACAGCATATAACAATCCAATCACAATTGACGGAGAAGATTTGGAAGATGTACAAACCTTTACATATTTGGGCAGTATCATCGATGAACACGGTGGATCTGATGCAGATGTGAAGGCACGGATTGGCAAAGCAAGAGCAGCATATTTACAACTGAAGAATATCTGGAACTCAAAACAATCGGCAACCAACACCAAAGTCAGAATTTTCAATACAAATGTTAAGACAGTTCTACTGTATGGGGCGGAAACCTGGAAAACCACAAAAGCCATCATCCAGAAGATACAGGTGTTTATTAACAGTTGTCTATGCAAAATACTTCAAATCCGTTGGCCGGACACTATTAGCAACAACCTACTGTGGGAGAGAACAAATCAGATCCCTGTGGAAGAAATCAGGAAGAAGCGCTGGAAGTGGATAGAACACACATTCAGGAAAGCACCGAACTGCGTCACAAGACAAGCCCTCATATGGAATCCTCAAGGTCGAAGGAGGAGAGGAAGACCAAAGAATACAATACGCCGAGAAATGGAGATAGATATGAGAAAAATGAACAAGAATTGGATGGAACTAGAAAAGAAGGCCCAGGACAGAGTGGGTTGGAGAATGCTGGTCGGCGGCCTATGCTCCATTGGGAGTAACAGGCGTAAGTAAGTAAGTTTCTGATTATTATAGTATTTCATATAAAGACATCAACATTGGTATAAGGAGGCAACAAATAAATATACATCACATAAATCATCCGATTTTTGTGACGACTGTGATACTGCACAGGTGCTCAAACAGAAGCTGGTGGTTGTCTTAGGGAGCCACACTCGGTTCCTTCCACCTAAAGGTTTGATGCATAACTCAGTGGAGTAATATCAAGAGATGTGATCCCGTGGTAGTCAGTGACCAACAATTGGTTTATACGTCATTTGTTCCTTCGGCATACTGGAGCTCCTTTGCTCCATTGGTTTGGAATGCGGGTTTTCAAACTCCCCTAGATGGATCCTCTATATACACCAACCCGGTTAAAAAATCGGATATTCGCTTTTAGTCCTCTCAATTTCGTAAACAATACTCCTGATGTGAGAAGGATTTCCCTGACAGTGGTTGTATGCACGTGGCCATATGAGAGCAGTTGGAGAGGGAGAGATAACTCTCTCCACTCTCAGCCGTATCAGGGCATTTGGGGGCAGATTAGTTTCTGACCACTTTACAACTACAATTATTTAACAATTAAACTGTGAAATATTAAATCATAAAAAAACTTGAAAGGTATAGAAACAAGCATTACATCTGTTAAGTTCGCTAACGTTCTTTGCCCCATATTCTCTTTTTTGTGTAATGTTTTATACTACTTATTAATATTCAGTAGATAGATTACTTCAAATATAATAACTTCTCTATAGTCGGCGCCCAATTTCTGTCAAACTATTCGTTCTAATCTTGACGAATATTCGTATATATTCAGTAAATAGTTGTGTTTCTAGCAATTTTCATCCAAATGTTGTAGTATTCTAAAGTATTTACTATATTAATATAATATTTATTGTACTTAATTCAACCCAAGTAACAGTCATTCTAAGATTTGTATGGGTCATTTATTCTTTATCAGTATAAGGGTTGTGGAAATTGTTAAGTTTTTGATTGAGATATTAGACTATCATTGAAAACCTAGAAGCCCTGGATGTCCGTTTCGTCCTATTTTGTGACTCTTCAGTTAAGGATTCACAATCTCAATAAAAACAAAATCATTCATTTTATAGAATATGAAAGTATCCTTATGAAAAAAGATAGTGGCTGTCACAATTTATCTGACTATCCTATTTATAAGAAACGAGAAAAACAGTTAAACTATTGAAATGAATAGGGTTTCTATACACAAAAACTCTCTCTCTCTCTGACACACACACACACACAAATACATGAGTGCAAGAGAGAAAGAAAGAGAGAGAGAGCGAGAGAGTTAGTATTCAATAACCAATAAATACTGTACAATACTAAGTATTATATATATTTATGAAAGAAACAACTACATAAACATACATACATTAATAACTGGAACTATGAACTACTACTACTACTACTACTACTACTTCACAGTTTACAGTGAGAAAAAAAGTCTTTACTACAATCACCCCCCACCCCACAGAACACACATGGCAACAACAACAACAACAACAACAACAACACCACCACCACCATGTATAAACAGTTGTCATACAACAATTTCTAGATTATTAGTTTAAATATAAACTTTTGAATAATAGAAAATACATATGGATTATGTAATAATGATTACAGTCTGAAAAAGAGACTATTTTCTTTCTAAGAGTATGATGTGATATATCAACTTACATAATAATTTGTCCATAAGAAATTTATTATTAAAAATAATTTATAGAGTTAAAACATTTTTATTTATTTATTCGAACACATAAATATTGGTACAAGAGGGCACCAAATATATATGCACCACATACATTTTCACTTTATTTGTGTATGGGCTGTGATACTGCTCGGGTACTCAAACGGAAGATGGTGGTTTTTGTAACGGGTCAAATCTGGAGCCTTCCAACTAAAAAAGATGCAGTCCCATGGTAGCCGGTGGCCAACAATGGGTTCATACGCCATTTGTTCCTTCAGGATACTGGAGTCAGCCCATATGTACCATTGGTTTGGAATCAGGGTTTTCCAATTCCCCTAGGTGGACTTTCCATGTCCACCAACCCGGTCAAAGAGCCGGACATTCGCTTTTCGTCCTCTCATTTTCGTAAACAATAGTAATGCCATGAGAAGGCAGTGAATAGGACTTCCCTGTCAGAGGCTATATACGAGTAGTCATATGAGAGCATTTTGTGAAGATGAGCTGCCTCTCCCAACTCTCGGCCGTACCAGGGCATTTGGGGGCTTTGACAGTCATCGACAATACTCAAACAATTAATGAATTATAGTGAACAAAATATGACAGTTCAATTTAACCAACAATCTCCAAATGAAAGAAAATAGAAGTAAAACGAATGAAATTCGTTCAAATAAATTTAAATAAGAGATAATTTAATATGGTCATTCTTTTGATGGAGTTTTGTTCTCTGAGCTGGATGATTTAGTCGTGAAGCTTTCATCGTTATTCTGAACAACATCATCAGCAAAAACCTCACGTAGAAATGAAGTATTCGAATTTCTCAACACTTGGTTTACAGCTTGTCCTGTAGACCCCTATGTTGATTGGTTTTTGTTGACGCTAAACCTGTCAGTGTTTACCTCTTTGTATTGGTTTTTATCTCCTATTGGTTTGATATTTGTTTCTATGTTTGTGCATGAACAAAACAAAACTCCACCAAAATCATCCACCTGAACTACAAATCTTCTTCACCATCTCAATATGATTGTTTACATAACAATTTTGAATTGTCAAACTTCATCTTTTTGCACAGAATTTTCAAGCGTGATATTAAACGTGTAAATATAGATAATTTCTAGGTGGACACTATTTAAAGATATCTTGCAATCCCTTAACCGCTTCGATAGTTTCTAATAATAGGCTGAAGTAAATTATGTAACAATTGAAAACGAGGAAGCATTAAGTAGCTGTTTCGTCTCAGTATCGGAACTCTCCAGCAATACAGATTCATGAATTCATCAGAGATAGAACGCAGCACCTTCAGGCTCACTAGAAAGATCTTAGCGTTTAGACTATCGAGGCGTTGATATCCATTAGTTTACATATTTGACTTAATTTAATTCACGATTTAGCACCAATACAATTCAAAGACTGAAACTAATGAGGCCAGATATTTTGTCGGTGAACGAGGTTGTGTAGATAGTTAGATTTGTAGTTTCAAGTTTAGTTCGTGA